TTTCCTCAGTAGGATTTGGCTTCCAACGTTTAAAGGAGTCTTTTTGCCTCCAACTGCTTCTTTTATTTCGTTTAGCCATAGTGGCATTTTTTTGGCCCTTTTACTATGTTTTTTTAATGTGGGGTATATATTTAATTTGCACCTCTGTTATATTGTTTAAAAATGTGTCCATGCAGCTTGCAGGCATTTCACTTTTGTGACTGTACCTTTTAATTTCTGTTTAACTAGCTTCCTAATTTTTGTGTAGTGCCCCTTCCTGAAGTTAAATGCTACTTGGGTAGACTTCTTTGGTGTCCCTTCCCACCCCAAGGGTATTAAATTTAATTATATTATGGTCACTATTACCACGCAGTTCATCTATATTCACCTCCTAGAATACATGGTTTGCTCCACTTAGGACTAAATTAAGAATTCTCTTCTCTTGTGGGTTCCAGGACTAACTGCTCCACGCAGCAGTCATTTATGGTGTCCTGAAACTTTAGCTCTGCATCCTGTCCTGAGGTGACATGTACCCTGTCAATATCAGGAGAGTTGAAATCCCCCATTATTTTGAATTTTTATAACCTCTCTAATCTGGAGCATTTCCCAATCATCTCCCCTCTCTATGAAAGGGAGACAGAGGATTTGAACAGGGGTTGCCCACCTCTCAAGAGTGTGCTCTGTCTATTGAGCTGTGGGCTGTTCAGAGGTGGGCTTGTTTCAAACTCTCTTGCTGAAGCTGTTCCACTGTGTATAAATAATTAGAGTCATCGGAGCAGGGGAACTGGACCTTCCAGGTGGGTGCCCTCACCACCAGGCAGATAGACACACATGCTCTCTCTTTCTGGTCCAATGACTCTTTGGTTATCTATCCAAAATGGAACATCTTCAACAGGAGAGACTGAGGAAGCCCCCTTCCCCCATCAGGCTAGCCCATAGTTCAGTGGTTCGAGCACTCACCTGAGAGGCTTGGAAGACCTCTGTTCAAATCTTTTCTCTGCATCAGGCAGATAGGGAAGATTGAACCTCTGTCTCCCACAGCCAAGCTGAGGGTGCTACCAGTGAGCTAAAAGTTATATGGTGAGCAGTACCACCACCTCGTCCTTATTTTTGACCCAATCCTGTAGGCAAGCTCTGAGCACGCCTTGTGGTTTGGGCCACCAGGTGAGCTAGGTGGAGGAATGCCTGGTTCACAGATCACACCGGGTCTTAGGCAGGAGGTAGGTGCTCTGATGCCTAGAGGGAGGCACCACTGCACTTTCCCAAAGGTAGAAACTTAGGCACCCAGTGAACTTTTACCCTGAAAACATAGTTGCCAAATGAGTTTATACACCAACATGGTTCCGATCACACTGGCACCCTAGTACCTTTGTGGATCTGGGCCCCAGTGATCATGTCTACTTCCTATAACCTTCCCTCACCCAGCTCCACACTGGCACCCTGCCTCCACTCCTGCCTCCCCAGCCCCGCCTTTTACCCCAAACATCACTCTGTTTCTGCACCACAGCAGCTCCCGCCTGTCTCAAAACTAACCCCTGGCAGCTTGCTTCCCTCCTCAAGCTCTGTCATTCTAGCAGCTCCCAGATGCTTGCTCCAGTCCGCCACATCCAAATAGCTACCTCAAACCCAGCATCTCCCCTGCTTACCTCACTTTGACTCATGCTCCCCCCGTCCCCGTCCCCAGTGTCCACCCACTCCCCCCCCCATTTTTGCCAACTCATCCAGCACGGTATCCCAGTTAGTCCTGGCATCAGTGCCTCCAAATCCTGAGATTCTCTGTCCCTCAAAACTGGCCTGAGTGTGCTCCTAAACTCTCCTCTTACTTTAGGCGTCTCAAAGGGTAGTGGCTTGCCAGGGCTGACTGGCTTTCTGGCCGCCCCAAGCAAAAAAAATAAAAATAAAAACCTGCGGCGCGGCCGGAGCCGGGGTGCAGGGGGACTCCCTGCCCTGCAGATGTGCCCTGGCTAGCGGGGGGAGGGGGAGGGAGCGGGGAGAGAGAGAGAGAAGGGGGATGGCCAGGGCTTCAGCGGGGCGCTGCCACGCGGCCCCTCCCGCCGTGCCGCCTGCCTGCTCCGCATCCACCGGCAGTCAAGCTCTCCCCTCCCCTGCTGCCTCCCCCGAGTGTGCTGTGTTCCCGCCCCTCCCCCCGCGCTTCCCCGCCGCCAAAGCAGCTGACTCCTGCATCCACACACACACATGCCCCCCGAGCCCTGACTCCTACACCCCCCCACACACCCCAGCCACCTGCCCCCCTGACTCCTGCCCCCCCTCACACACCTGCAGCCCCCTGCCTTCCCTGACTCCTGCAACCCGTGACATCCCTTGCCCCCCCCCCCCAGGCCCAGCCCCCTGCCCTCCCTGACTCCTGCACTCCCACCCCACAGCCCCACCTGCACCCCTCGCACCAAACGGGAGCTGCCCCAGGTAAGTGCTCCAACCCCCTGCCCCAGCCCTGGGCCCCCTCCTGCACCCTAAGTGCTGGCCAGATCCCGCACCCCAATGTTTTTTTACATTTTTTATTTATAAAGCGCTCTTATCCAATGTGCTTTACAATAGTTAGCTAACGGTACAAACAATATTTGGAAAGATCATTAAGTGGTCTGCCAAGACCCTCAGCGCTTTTCAAGTGGTCTGTGGAAAAATAAGTTAGACTACAGAAACGATCAAGGCACCTCACTTTATTTTCATTTACTTCTAGGTGGAGGAGGAAGTAAAAAAGAATGAAAAATGGGTGGGAGGGAAGTAAGAGAGAATGTTCTTTTTTTTGGCTGGGGCCCAAGGAGGGGCCCCAGAAATGAAGCTGAGCACAGGGCCCCACTAACTCTAAATCCACCATTGCCTAGAGCTATGAACTTCTGCCTTTGCCTCCTAGCCTCACTTACAGCATTGGGAGGGTCACCATCATTCATTAATTGACATTGCCTTCCTGCCTTTCTCCTAGCCTCAGTCCCTACCCTCCCAGCAGCCTTTTACTCACTCTGCCTTCTAGTTAGCCAGTCACCCTCAAGTCTGCCTGGCACAAATCCAACCTCTCATCAAGCCAGCCTGGATATCTGGCACCCACCCATCCACCATACTTTGCACCCACCTACTCTCCCTGATATCTTTCCACCCTGCCATCGACCAATCATGTCCTCATCTGGCTCCACCCCTTTCCCAAATCCTTTTGCTTGCCTCTAGACAGAACCCCCACTAAAACACTCCTCCTGCCTTGTCCCCATGGGCTGTGTCACTATCCTGCATGACAGGCGTCCTGGTTTTTCAGCTTGAAAATCTGGTCACCCTGTACGACCTCCTACATCTGCAGTCAACGTGTTCCAACAACTCCCACCTCTGGGCCTCTCTCAGGATGGGATAGCCAGTTGGCGGCTCAGCGATGTACCTGAGAACCAGTACATTTAAGGACTTTAAAAGGGTAAAACTTTAAACTAAAACTGGGCCCTTAACGCAAAAATTGTGTAAACTTTAATGAATAGAATGTATGACCCTGTGTATGCATGCGCATTTTCCCCTTGAACACTCTGTCTGATGCAAAACCCATTGACTTCAAGGGGAGTACTTGTACTAAGTTCATTGGACTTCAGAACAGGCCCTTTATGTGCTACAAGAATAACAGACTGGCGCACAAAGCAGTAGTGACTGTACAACTTCATTTTATTTTGTGTGCTTTTATAGGATATAAATAAATGACAAAATTACAAAATTTATAACTGGAAGCCCAAGCATATTTACATTGAAGTATTTGTTGCAGTGAGGCTATTATTTACTTTGTTCCTATACAATTTTCCTTTTGGTACCATATTTTTCAGTTATTTTTACTGTCAATTTACTACATACATATCAACAGTGAATAAGCAAAATATGTACAAGGAACTATTTGTTCAAGTAAATTGAATACTGTATTAAAAGGTTTTCATTACTCAGAGCTATAGGCTTAATTAAACCATATACAATTATCAATTTTAAACCAAGTCCAGTTATCCATTTTTGGAATTCACCAATTGATGATTGTAATTGAAAAGCTCAGTTAGATATGAAATAATAATAATAATAATAAAAAAACATTAAGACAACCACACAATTTATCAATATCGCTATAATGAACTTCAAAATGATTCACAATTTGACTGGATAGAACAATATACATTAAAATGTCATTTTTCTCCTATAATGATATTTGCACCGTTATAATTCAGTTCTACATAAATATACATTATGGCATTATACAAATACTCCACAGACATTAAAAAAATTAAAACACTTTAAAGAAAATGTAAGTAAATTTCATTTAATCAAGCAAATGCTTAACCATTTTTGTTTCATGAAAACAGATTTATTACTTTGGAATTTTTTTCTCTTTCTTTATTTATTTAGAAAAATGTCTGCAGAAGAACTTCTTTCAAACAAGCTTTCTTTGACAGAAACCTTGATAGCAAAATCTGTAGTTTTGATTATGTTCTCTAGAACCGCTGTTGAGATTTTTAAAAATACTAGTAGAATTCATGACTTATAGCAACATTAAACTGTGTAAATTGTTGTATGTGTAGTGCAATGACTAGTCTGCTTCTATTCTATTCCCATCAGATGAAGCAACTAGTGCATCCACCATTGATATTTTGCTAAAGGTACAGTAGCAATTGTTTAGTCAACTTTAAAATAAACAAAATCTTTCATAGTTAATCTGACTTCATCTCCCATAAATATTTCTATGTTCTCCCATAGTATTCTCTTCCATAAAAATATCTAATACAAGATACATTTTCTGTGCATTATTAATTCCTCTTTTTAACTAATCATAAAATTCTCATCCTTTGTCACACTGTGATAGGTTATTTTTTAAAGAGGATCAAAGGACACTAATGATTACATATAAAACCGGCACACACAGAAATTGGGGTAACTAATTTCTTGTTATTTTATTCTTATTTTTAATACAATAAAGAGTAATTAATTCTTAGGCGTTCAGGGGTTTCACAAATATTGTATTTAATAATTCTATTTCAATTAAAACCTGCCAAGATTTAAATAACCAACCAAATCTCATACTCATAGGCAGCATTAATGTTAGTTTAGAGAACTTTTTAAAAAGTAGAATCCTAAAATAAGAAATCAAAGAAAGCACTGTGGCGGAGTCACAAGAGGACTGCTTGAAAAATATTTCCTCACTCTCCTTGCAGACTGTAATTTAAAAGTCTTCATATAGTGTCATTCTCCTGTCAGTGCTGCAGGAAGAAATGATTACCAGCCTTTTTTTTGTTAGTTACAAGGCCACTCTTACAGTGCAGTCTTCCTCTCTACTGGATTGAAACGTTGCCGTAAAGGAAAGGCTGTGCTGTGACTACTTGGAGTGCAAGGCACAACAAGAACCAGAGGACAGTTTTGTATCAGAAAATTGTAGTTTCATACTTGGTATTAATTCCTCTTTTGGCTTCTTGTCCAGGTTCTACAATCCACGGTAGATTGGCAAGAGTCTTTTGTTCAGATGGATCTATCTGCTTTAAAACAAATACAAATAAATACACACACTTAATTGGATCAGCACTTTTGTACAAAACATCTCAAGTACTAGTTTTGCATCCACTGAAGAGGTCATAGAATAAATCCCATGGTTTTACCATCACAGAGAAATCTATAAGGGACTATCACTTACTTGTAACTAAGGTTTATTAAGGGCTTGATCCTGAGATATGCTCTAACCTTTTTAAATACACCTCTACCTCGATATAACGCTGTTCTCGGGAGCCAAAAAATCTTACCACGTTATAGGTGAAACCGCGTTATATCGAACTTGCTTTGATCCACCGGAGTGCGCAGCCCCGCCCCCCCCGGAGCACTGCTTTACCGCGTTATATCCGAATTTGTGTTATATCAGGTTGCGTTATATCGGGGTAGAGGTGTATAGAGCCAGATGACAGCCCCAGTGGCCAAAATTTTTTCTTTCTTAAGATAATCTTTTACAAAGCAGAGCATTCTGACATTCATCACAAAACTGCAAGTTAATTACCTTATAGTAACTGGAGGTTCTTTGAGATGGGTGGTCCCTATCTGTAGTCCACTGTGGGTGCGCATGTGCTCCATGTGACCAGAGCTGGAGACTTTTGAAAGCAACGTCCATTGGTCCACGCATGCACCCTGGCTCATTTCCTACCTCCAACCAAGGAGATAAAGAGCAGGGCGAACTGACCACCTCTCCAGTTCCTTCTCTACCGCAAATCAGAGAAGACTCAAAGCAAAGGGGAAGGAGAGCGGGCAGTGGAATACAGAAAAGGACCACACATCTTGAAGAACCTGCAGCTATTATAAGGTAAGTAACCTTCTGTTCTTTGCATGCTGGTTCTTAAGTGTATTCCACTGTGGGTGACTGACAAGCAGTATTCAACCAGGAGGAGGTTGCGAGGCTATAGGTGGCAGAGCCGAATGAAGGTCTGCCGTTCCAAAAGATGCATCAGCAGAGGAGTCCTGTACCAAAGCACAGTGTCGCGCAAACATGTGGACAGAGCTCCACACAAGTGATTTACAGATGCTGAGTAAAGGCACCTCTTGAAGCGTTGCCATAGACATTGCTTGGGCTCTTGTGGAATGAGTTCTTACCCCAGGAGGTGGGGGAAGATTAGACAGTTGATAGAGCAAACTACAGCCTGAGATCCATTTTGAGATTTTTTTTTATAGCCTGACCCCCTTTTCTTCAGAGTATGTGTTTGGTTTTGGGAAGAACACAGGTAAGTGAATTGTCTGGTTCAGGTGAAACTCAGAGACTACTTTGGGGGTGAATTTAGGGTGTAAACATAATGAAATGTTGTCCTTATGGAATATAATGAAAGGAGGATCCGCCATCAGCACTCCAAGCTCTTCCGGCTGAGGTGATGGCTACCAGGAATGCACCCTTCAGGGACATGAGAGAGATATGGAGGAAGAAGCTAATAGTTCAAAAGGAGGCTTGGTGAGTATTGAGAGAACAAGGTTCAAGTCCCATTGAGGAGTATCCCCCCCCCTTTTTTTTTAAAGGCGGAAAGGTTCTGCTTAGGCTTTTCCAGAATCTGCTAGTCAGTGGGTGTGCAAAGATTGAGTAGCCCTGTGAAAGTGGATGGTATGCACTGATTGCCACCAAGTGGACCCGTTAGGAGCTGACGGATAAATCTGTTGTCTTTATGGAAAGGATACAGTCCAGAATGAGAGCAATACCTGCAGCTTCTAGGGGTGTGTGTCGTTGATGTGCTCAGACAGAAGAACGCTTCCACTTGGTTAGGCAACATTTCCTAGTGGAATCCTTCCTATTGTTAAAAAGGATGTTCTGTACAGATTCAGAACATGATTGCTCTAAGGATGATGCCCATCCAAAAACCAGGCTCTTAGATGAAGCGGATGTGGGTTGGGATATTTGATCTTGTTGTTCCTATGGGTCAGATCGAGAATGTTGGAATAATGATCAGTGCCCGAGACAACGTGTAGGAGGTTCAGGAACAAAAACTGTATGGACCAGTTGGGGACAATGAGAATGACTTGTGCCCTGTCCTGCCAAATCTTGTGCAAAACTCGAGACAGGAGTGGTAGTGGCATAGGGAAGGCATAATTCAGATGGTTTGACCATGGAAGCAGTAGAGCACCATCCTGTGAGTGGCAGCCTATGGCTCCCCTGGAACAGTATATGTTGCATTCCATGTTTGTTTGGTAGGTCAACAAGTCCCTGGTGGGGGAGGCTCCCAGAGAGCGAGAATATTGTTCATCACAGAGTCGTGTAGCTCCTACTTGTAATCAACAGAAAAGTGTCCGCTGAGAGAGTCCACTAGCACATTCCGGTTTCCTGATAGGTAGACTGCTGACAGGGTAATCTGATTGCTGATGCCCCAGTTCCACAGGCTGACAGCTTCTGCACATGGGGGATGGATCTCGCTCCTCCCTGTTGGATGTAAAAGACAGTTGTGATGTTGTCCAACATTATGAAGACATAGTGACTTTGAATGACCAGGAGAAAGGCTTTGCAAGTCTTTAAAACTGCTCATGGCTCTAGAACATTGATGTGCATCCTGGACTCTCGAGATGTCCAGGTGACTTGTGCTTTATGGTTGTCCATGTGCATACCCCAACCCAACAGGTAATGATCATCCTGTCTGGTGCAGAAGCGAGGAAGGGGACACCAACACATACCTAGTGAGGATTCTTCCACCATAACAGGGACAGTTTCACTTTAGTGGGAACAGTCACTATGGTGTTCATGGATTGTTGGTTTGGCAAGTACACAGTTTGGAGCCATGCTTGTAGGCAATGAGGGTAGAGTCTTGCAAATAGCATGACATAAGTACATGAGGCCATATGGCCTAGGAGACAGAGACAGGTCCTGACAGGCACTCGTAGGTTGCTTATGACCTGGTCCATAATAGTGTTCATAGCCTGAAACCTGTCCTGGGCAGGTACGCCCTTGCCGTGGCTGAATTTAAGGAAGCCTCGATGAAGTCTAACTTCAGTGTAGGGGTGACGATGGATTTTTTCAGCATTTATGCTGACCCCCCCAAAGAAGAGAGGAGTTGCAGCATTGTCAAAGTCAATGGACAGGCCTCTTGGCATGACCTGGAGCCAATTGTCAAAGTGCAGATGATGGTGCAACCACGATGTCTCATATAGTTTTCTACTACAGAAAACACCTTGGTAACTACCCCAGGGAGGTAGCAATGCTGAAAAGGAGTACTCTGTATTGAAAGTGGTCAGAGCCCACCATGAATCTATCTGAGACAGTGTCTGTGAACGGGGTGGATGTCCACGCGAAAGTAGGCATCCATGTCAAGAGCTGTAAACCACATGTCCTTTTCCAGGGATGGAATTATAGATGCCAACATCACTATAAGGAACTTGAGTTTGTGAATAAAGAGGTTGAGATGGCAGAGGTCCAGAATGGGTCTCCAACCGTCCTTCTTTTTGGATATTAGGCAGTATGGCAAGTAAAAACCACCCCCTTAGTACTGCAGAGCAACCCACTCTATCACTCCACACTGTAAGAAATATTCCACTTCTTGCTTGAGACTGTTCTAGTGCAGTGGTCCCCAAACTTTTCAGGGTCATGCCCTCCCTTACTGCTGTCCGTGCTCCCGCCCAACTGAGGCCAGGAATGTTGGTGTGACTCAGAGCGGGGGATGCGGACAGGGTAAAGGGGGTCGAGGCTGGGGCTGTAGCTGGGAGTGGGTCTGGGGCCAGGGCTGGGAATGGAGCCATGGTGGGGGCGGGGCAGGAAAAGATGGGGCAGGGGTGGGGGCTTGGGGGAAGGGGTGCAGTGGGGGTGGGGACTGGGGAGACCGGTGGTCACGCACCCCCTGGGAACAGGGGAAGTTGGCACCTCTGCCCCTCGTAGGTTTATAACCTCTCTCAAGAGGGAGGGACCCAATGGTGTGGGAGACTCTGGGTCTGGGGGAAAGTGAAAATATCCTCAGGAGGAGTGTAGGTCTCAGCTCTTCCTGGAGTGAGAAAGGTCCTGGCCACCCAAACCACAGTCTGTGCCACAGCTACTGAAGACAAAGATGGTACTGTGGCTAACTGATGCTCTTAGGTGATTGGTCTTCATCGGTGCTGGTGAATCCCAGGGTTTGTGTTTGGGGGGTACCAGAGGCACCAGTGTCCTCGATCACAATCCAGTGCTGATGAACACCCTTGACTTGAGGGCTTTCTAGTCATGATTTGGAACATACTAAGTTCTCTTGGTTTGAGCTTGCTCAGTTTAGGCAGGGATGAATCTGACTTCTTTGAAGTGGGTCTGGAGGAAGATTTAGCCTCATGCTTATGGGAATTCTCCCAGCTCTCCTGAAAAGACCCCACTGAAGGATCTGTGGGGGTAGACTCCTTCACTTTGGACTCGGACCTTGTGGCAGGAGATGCACTCCTTGCTGAGTCAATCTGATATGAGGGGCTGGGGGTTCCCTGGCCTGGGTCTGACTGAGGCTTCATGGCCTTTTCTATTAGGTGCTTCCTAAGGTGAAGTTCCCACACTTCCTGGATCTGGCAGGGGAATGAAGGGCAGGTATTGCACCTTGCCATGATGTGGGTGTCCCTGAGGCACTACAAGCAGTGTTGGTGGTCAATGCTGATCAAGAAGAATCGCGTGCAGGAAGCCCAAATTTTGAAGCTGAGAGTCCTGGGCATAATGCGGTACCCCCAGGTCAGGGAGACTAAGTAACTCTGAAACACTAAAATGATCAGATACAAACTTTAAAACTCCAGAACTATGAAAACTATTTACAGATATGTATATATATTCACAGAAAAAGGAGAAAGCTGAAGCTTTGGACTCTGGAGGTTCCAAACCGAACTATGTGGCGGTGAGAAGGAACTGGGGAGGTGGTCGCCCCACCCCATCTATTATCTCCTCAGTTGGAGGCACGAGGTGAGCCAGGCACGCATGTGCGGACCAACGGACACTGCTTTCACATTTCTCTGGTTCCATGCGTGTGGAGTGCGTGCATACCCACCGTGGAATACACATAGGGACAAGCACTCCAAGAAGAACAATACCTCTGTGCCATTTTCACACTTCAGAAGGGAGTTTTAAATTGAGTTAAATTAATAACATATATACTGGCCATGCTCATTGTTCCATCAGGCCTTCATTTGGGAAGGGGTATCAGTTTAGATGAAATAACAACTTCACCAAAAACCAAACTATATCTGAACAATGTTTATTTTAGGTTAGAAATGTGGCTGCCTTCTTTTCAGTCCCGACAGATGCTTATTAGATCTTTTGAGACTTCAATATTAGAGCTGATCACATTTCAGACTTTCCAGTGCACAGAAAATTTTGACGTTTTGCAGTTTAGTTTCGGCCTGAGTTGGATGGGTCAGTTTCCCTGCTGCTATTGAGTGGTGGCCACCAGTAGAACTGACATGAATCAGCTGGGGATCCTGACAGCCATGGATCTGGGGCAGCTCTGCCATGCAGCTCCCAGGCCAGCTGGCTCCCCGACCTGCCCAACTCCCATTCCTGTAGCCTGCGGCGCTAACTGCCCTGGGAGTCCAGCTCAGCCTCCAGGAGCCTGAAAACCCCCAGACTCCCAAATCAGCTGGGGCTCTCAGGACTTTCAGGTTGCCTGCTGCAGTGCTGGGATCCTATACCTTGAGAGTCACATCTTGTGCTATGGCTCCCAGAGATGCCATGCTTCTGACTGCAGCAGCAGGGAGCCTGGAAACCCTGAGAGCCCTGGCTCAAGCCAGGGTTTTAGGGCTTTCAGGCTCCCCGCTGCTGTAGCTAGGAGCTGAGTCACAGTTCAAGCTGGGACTTCCAGGATTTCCTGCTCCACTACAGGGAGCCTGGAAGCCCCGGGGTCCCTAGACCGAGGCCAGACCATATGGTTGCCCAGGAACCATGGACCCTTGAAGCCCACTGTTCCCAGCAGAACCATATCCATAATTTGACAAAAATTAATTGAATCCAAAGTGTTTTTGTGAAACATTTAAGCAAGTCAGCATTTTTTGATTGAACTCTTTAGTTGGACAATTCCTGACTAGCTCTACTCAAGCTAGATTTTAGCAATCTCTTGGACTGCTGACTGTCTTTAGAAAGAAGTTGTGTGTATGGTGAGGGCCAATTAATTCTGGGACATCTTTAAGTTCTACATGCCCCAAATAATATTTGACTAGTACAACCAGTACCCAAAGATGAGACTGAAGACCTTTCCTTCTTAAGTGGAATGTCACTATAGATAGTGGTTTTGTTAGGAATTGTGGAGAGTGAGATCAGGTCAGGGAACCTGTTTTGGCTTATGGAGACAATATCAGAAAGGCAGGTTGGGTTCCAGAGAAGAGGAGCTTTGAAAGCAGGGAGACTGTTGAGGGTCAAAAGACAGGAAGAAAAGAGAATGAGGTGGTTCTGATCGGAGGAGAAAGGTAAAAGGATAGAATATGAAGAAAGGAGGAAAAGGAAGATAATTGAAAGTTCAGTCAAGTCAAATTAGGATTCAGTTGTCAGAGGCCTTATCTGAACCAAAATTCTGTGCCTTCAAAATTTGCCAGTCATTGATTTGCATCTGCAATGATCCTGTATTGGGGGAAGTCACAGGCACTCAGAAGACACAACAGGATTATTGTGCTAATACTTGATTGTCCTCAGAGGTCTGGTTTTTGGTTAATTTTGAAAGATGAAGATATCAATGTTATGGTCTCATACTGGTATCAAAGCTAAACAAAAACGGTTAAAATACATCAAGCTAAATTTTGTGTTGATTTACACCTTGTCGCAATTTCAGTGAAGTCAATGTGATCGCACAGGTTGTAAATCAGAGCTGATTGTAGTCCATGGCATTTAAAACAGCTACATTAACACATGGAAATAAACACTGAAACACGTCAAGCAGTGGAATAACAGCATAAGAGATGCCTGACTAGTACTACATATACAACTCCTTAAGATGGAAGGGTCTAAGATAAAGTGTTGCAAATTGATGGTATGCTGAGATTCTACAACTCCTTGCAGACTGACTTTGGAGTGATGAGTGGATGCGGCATAGCTTATCTTGGGAGGTGCTTTTCTGACCAAACAAATATGTAAACTACTATCAGATTCATGCCAACATATTTTTTTGTATAGCTGGGTTTTGATTTTCTTATTTGCTACTTACCACAGACTTTCGAATACTAACACGTGGTTTTGGAATTGGTTTGGTGGGTTTATTTTCAAAGCTTTCTGGGAGGGTTGAAGAATGGCCTCCTTTTCGTGCTTGTAGTGCGAGCTGGTAGGCTACCTCGAATGCCTGTCCAAGTGTTAGAATTATTTCATAGGCTAAATTCTGGAACAACAACAAAACATTCAAAAATAGAGTTAGGAGACATTAGCATTTATGAATATTAATTAAGGACAATCCTGCCTAGTGCAGTCGGGTAGACTTTTACATGCCTATACTGTACAAGTCAACGCTACTATATAAATAATACAAATACACTGAAGATGGCCTGCTAGATCTTTTCTATCTTCAACATCTGTGATTCAATGTATATCTATCAAAGGGCAACCAAAGTGTGATTGGCCTTAGTGAAAGGCATTATTCAATTATTGTACACAATCTCTCAATTGCTAAACATTAAAACAGTGACCAGATTAGGTTGGTGTGGCCTGCTGACACCACATTACCAATACATAAATTGATGTTCTTGTATTTCTTCTCTGTGGTTTCATTCTGTGTTCCAGCATGATAATTCAAGGGAAATTCTTGTAAGTTTTATTTTAGTGACAGATCACAGAACTGAGCCAGTGGAAGGGGAGGGTGAGCCAAATCACATGCTTCCTCAACCAAGTCTGTGTGCATTATCCCCCAGCTAACCTTCATTGACTCACCTTCAAGATGCCACCCATCTTGTTCCATTGTTTAACATTTTAGCCAGCTCTGCTTCAAGCCTGATCTCCTGACATGCCCTTCTTCAAAATCTGCAGTCTGAGTCATTACTTCCCTCCTCTTGTGTCTCTGAACACTCTGAGCTGCACTATCAGAGAATAGCAAACGAGCAGGAGGGAACTCCACTTCAGTGAGCATTTCCAGAAAATCTGAAGGAAAATGTTACAAGTGCACCCTTCACTTTACTGGGCCGCAAGTTGAAAATGGTGTGAGCAACATTCTCAGTCTTTGTCTTCTGCAGGAACTGGCCAAAGGGCACTTGGGTGGTCAGATTCTCATTTAGAACTAGAATATCAGAGACAGGGCCGGCTCCAGGCACCAAGCACCCAAGCTGGTGCTTGGGGCGGCACCTGGAGGGGGGCGGCGGCGCGGCGCTCTGGCCGCGGGGGGGGGGGGGGGAGAGCCGAGCCCCCGCCGGGGCTCGCCGCCCTCCTCCCAGGGCTCCGGCCGCCCTCCCCCCCCGGCGCCCTCCCCCCGGCCGCCGGGGGGAGAGCGGAGCCCCCGCCGGGGCTCGCTGCCCTCCCCCCGGGGCGCCGGCCGCCCCCCCCTCCTGCGGGGGGGGGGGGGGGGCGGCCGGAGGCTTTTTCGCCTGGGGCGGCGAAAAAGCCAGAGCCGGCCCTGATCAGAGAATCCTGGGAGGTTACTGTGCACTGTTGTGTGTTTGTTATCAAAGAAGTCAGATTTTTAAGAATAAGACCACTGGGTGACAGCATAACTAGAATAATATGAGTGCTCATTCATTGAGTATATGCAAAATGTAGGATAAAATATTTGTTAAAGTAGGTGCTTCCTCAAAAAGGGAATTGGGAATTTGGATTGAATGGATTAGTGTGACCATTTCCTTTGGTTTTGAGTAATGTGGGTTCAACTCCCCTGTGGAACCTTTGAGCTTCAGATATGCACAAAACCCAAATCTCAAAGTGAAATTTAGTGGAAACCACCATGCTTCATTCAGTTTCAGGTTGAAACCATGTTAAACCAATCAGCCATACATTTGCACAAGCTCACTGAAAAGGTTAGTGAAGCCTTCAGTTTACCATGTGTGTGTTTCTAGTTTCTAGTAAACACTAATGAAGCCATACACGATTTGCATAAATATAAAATCTGCCCTTCACTAGTTAGACCTTATAATTTTATCCTATCTCCTTACTTCAAACCATAAGGCAAAGCCCCACTGTCGTCGTGAAGGTATTCTCTCTCTTGCTCTTGTAACACCCACTTTAGGAACAGTGTACCAAATTCAGACCTTCTGAAAGCAGGTGCATCTCCAATCACTTCTGCTAATAAAAGGGGCCAATTATTCCATCAGTTGCACAGGTGCAACTCCTACTGCCTTATGTGACAGTTGCATCCATGCAAATGATGAGATTAATTGTAATTGGGTCCCGGATTTGCATTTGGCTCATTATAAAACCTTCTTCTGAAGCATCCAGCATTGGTCATGGTCCAGTGATAGACTAGATAGAAAAATTTACTTTTTAATTTGTGCATCCAAATGTGATCAGCTGCTGTCAAGATCCCTGGGTAGGCTGGCCCTGCTAAGACCCTTTTCCAGTCCACTGAGTTCACTCTTTTCAAGTGACATGCCCATGCCTTCGCTTCTGTTTGGGATGGGATCTCATGAGCCAAACACTTTCTGACTTGGTCTCTGGGTTACACCCCCTAGGTGCCAGTCATACTGTAACAGCATATGTTTGCAGTGATACAGAAATAGCTTATTTAAAACAAAGCAGGATTTATTTTTCCAAAATGTACAAAGTGCCTCGAGAAGTGGATTTAAAATAACAAAGAGACCTATATGCATATTTCCTTACCTAATCTTAACCTCTATCTCTATAGCTCAGGAAGGTCTGTCTTATTCCCCATCTCTGAGATGGGAGAACTAGCTTACACTTCATGCTGCATGCGCCTCCTGCCTGTGAATGAGTTCTTCCAGTGTGTCAGCTTTTTCATTGACACCCCCAGGGCCAGTTCTCCCAGCTCACTCACCCTCCCCTTCCCTCTTCTAGGATCTTTGGGGTTTTAGGTCTACTTTGTTCCCCGGCTTAGCCTTAGGGAAGTAAAGACATTCTAAAATGGATGGTGCCAGCGAGGTAACTTCTCCCCCTAGCTGAGGGCCCAGTCATTGTTCCCTTAGCTGCTTTGAAAGTGTGTACCTGAAGCTGTCTTATATCTTAGTACTTGTGGTGTGTCCTGCCCCTAGGCCAACCTCAAGCTCCAGTCTGTCTTAACCTTTTGCATTCAAGTAGGCAGCAATACAAAAATTGAACAGAGAAACCAACTCATCCATAGCATTCATAAGAAATAACACAGACATTTTCTCAGTTCATCACAGTTGCTATGATCACATCCACCATAACAAGCTGTTCAAGGTTTCATACCTTTGACACTGAAATCAGCTACCTGAACTCACAAGAGTAGGGCCAACCACTTGACTTAGGGAAACCTGGTCAGAACTGGTCAGTGCTGCAGATGCAGTTTGCCACCAAAAATTCAAAGGTTTTAAGGCCTAAAGGGATCGTTATGCCAATCTAGTGGGAATCCAGCTGAACATAGGCAACAAATTGAGAAACCCATTGGTCATATTTGCCACAAACGTATAATACATATTATGACTCCCAATTGATTGCCTATGCTAATGTCACAAGATTAAGACTTTAGAGACACATCCTGCACTGCTGTAGTAACATGACAGTGCACTGTCCCACAAGATTGGATTAACTGTAGTGAAGATTATATATTGATAAGGAATAAATTGACAGGACTGGGTAGAATAATGGCCCTGGAAAAGTAAGTTCAGCACTATTGTGATAGTGCACTTTATAGTGTGGCATACAATGTCATCAGGACACAGTCTGCACTGGATAATTATGAGATGACAGAGTAGATGGGAACATAGAATATGCCATGCAGTGACAGAAGAAATGTCCAGCTAGTCTGGGACCCTGCCTCCAGTAGTAGTTAAAAATAGTTCAAGAGATGCTGCAAATTATTTTCCTCTTTAGCACATTATATAGTGGGACAACAGCCATGCCCAGAACCTGAATAATCCACAGAGGCGCTGGACATGCAGTAGTCACATGTGAACAGAGGTGTGCCTGGTAAATATGTTCAACTATATCCTAGTAGAGAGAATGGACCATATTACATTAAAGAATATTATGTCTGTAAGTGGGAAAGGAGTCATACATTGTGTATTAAGTTAGAGAGCACCTTGAAACCAGGCAAGGATGCAATGGAATTAAGGCTTCTGGGGATTTTTAAAACAGGAAAAGCCAACTGCAGAAAAATATCTAGCTACAAACTGGGTTAGTTTTGGGGATTTCTCATTTACAGTGTGTATTCAATACTGGAATGGGAATACTGTATTGAAGTTGACCAATATGAGTGCCTTACATGTGCTATGCCTGAGTAGGGGAGTGGAAATGCCACAAGGTTCCCTTGCAGAGTTTCCACTTGGGGTGTTTGTGGGGGGAAACAGGTTTGGTCCCAGTGGCATAACCAGGAGGTTCACCACTGAATAATCAGTGGATCCCCCAATATCTGTGGAGGACTTCAGCCTCCACAGCCCCCTTCAGGCTCCCTGGAAGGGAAGCACAGCTGTTGGACCCATGCGCTACTTGGGACTCCTGCAATGGCTGGTGGCCAACCCTTCGCCCAAGGATGATTGAGAAGGAAAGTAAGTAAGTTAATCCTGCCAGGGTATGTCCAGAACATGACAAAGGAATTCAGAAGAGGTGGATTGTCTTGTTTTGTTTTTTTGAAGTTCAAGTTGTAACACGTACATGCCTCAGCATGCCAGCCTGACCCAATAGTCTCCTGTCACTTGTATTCTAATTGTTCTATTACTATTTTATATTTGTTTTATTTAGGACTGTCAAGCGATTAAAATTAATTGCACTGTTAAAGAATAATAGAATACCATTTATTTAAATATTTTTGGATCTTTTCTACATGTTCAAATATATTGATTTCAATTACCACAGAGAATACAAAGTGTACAGTGCTCACCTTATATTATTATTTTTATTACAAATATTTGCACAGTAAAAAACAAAAGAAATAGTATTTTTCAATTAATCTAATACAAATAATGTAGTGCAATCTCTTTATCATGAAAGTTGAACTTACAAATGTAGAATTATGTAAAAAAAAAAACTGCACTCAAAAATAAAACAATGTAAAACTTTAGAGCCTACAAGTCCACTCAGTCCTACTTCTTGTTCAGCCAATCCTCAGACAAACAAGTTTGTTTACATTTGCAGGAGATAATGCTGCCTGCTTCTTGTTTACAATGTCACCTGAAAGTGACAACAGGGTTTGCATGGCACTGTTGTAGCCGGCATCGCAAGATATTTACATGCCAGATGCACTGAAGATTCGTATGTCCCTTCATG